AGCAGCTGTGTCTCCAGAGCCAGCAAATGACGATTCCTCTGCCTGCTCAAGGAAAACGAGACATCCTTGAGCCATGTTTGGGGGGTAGCTCAGGTGTGGAAACAGCCAATTACTCTACTAATCAGCTTGAGCAACCAGTCGTGTGATGAGTTAGAAATATGCCTCATGGAAATTGTTCCATGACTTGCAAGTGTGTGGCGGAGGGGGTGGGGATTGGATCTGAGTGCATTTCCAGAGGAGGGAAGAGAATCAGGTGATAGACTGCAATGGATGGTCCAACTGCATTTATACTTACCTTGAAAGAAAACTCAGAGCAAGACTCTTCTTCCTATTTCCCAGGTGACTTTTAAAGAGATATAGGACCTGTGAAGTGTATCCCCAGTGACTAAGGCTAGAGCACAATGCAGGTAATTCACATCCAGACTCTTAAACCTGGCTAAACAAACACTACAAAGTTTTCTGTGCTCTTTAAGCCACTGATAGAAATGAGACTTCCTGTCTCCTCCTGACTGTGGGAACTCCCTTATTTTCAGATGTTCTCTGTCTACCCACCACTGATTCCTAAGTTTCTACTGAACCTCTGAGAAGCTGTTGTGAAGTCCTACCCTGGTTTGACCAGGTAGGTCAAACTTGCCCAGAATTCACAACTGGAGGCTGGCATCTCTGAGGAGACCACACCATCACATAAGCACCTCCACCTACTGCACTGGCCACCTTCCTCCCAGTTCTGCAGGAGTCTCCTTGGTACCCTGACCTGGCCAACTCTAAGACTTGGCACCCGGCACGAGTTAATGACATGGTATCAGTCGAGTTAGGCAAACTGGGGTTAGGACAGGCAAGGTTACTCCCAAGGTTACCACGGCGACTCACCACTGTACATGTCAGGGTGGTTTCTTAAGGACGAGTCGTTATAGGGGTGGTCTGCAATAAACAAAAGAGGGTGAGCAAACAGGGACCACGGAGAGGTCAAGGAGGCATAAACGGGAGAGAACAACAGAAATGCAAAGCCACAAAACAACCAGGGAGCACCAGTGGTCTTTTGCAAAGGAAACACACAGCATATTTGGAAAGGAAATACGCTTGGTGAAGAACAAGCAACACAAAACAGCTCCCAAAAGGGAAGAAAAGGTTAAATCCTGCAAAAGAAGGCAATAATAAGTCTCTTTTTTAATAAAGAAATTAGGCATGACCTCTAATTGCTTGGTCATACTATAATTTCAAACAAATGAGATATGAATTAGTGGTATTCTGTAGCAATTTGAACAACTCTTTTCCGCCAAAATCCTCTGTTCCCAGGACTCTGGATCAGGCCAGCTCCTGGGGTCGCTAAAGAGAAAGGAGTGTTAGTGAGCCCTGGGGCAAGAGCCAAGCCCCACCCTGGCAGAAGCCAAATCGCAAGGGGTGGGGGGTAAACGAGGGGAGAAGATAGAGACAGGTCACCAACAGAAGGGGACAGAGGACCCTCGGCAGTGCCCAGCAGTCGTGCACTGACCAGCATCAAGAACTCCCAGCCTGCCCAGACGGGCACTATCCTGGTCTCCACATTGAGTCTGTTGGCAGAAACGCCTCCTCAGAAGGAGGAGCAGTGGTTCAGGGAGAGGGGGACAGCTAGGCTGAGCTTCGGATTTTAGGCTCAGAAAGGGAGCCTGGGACAGGAGAGCGTGCATGAGCTGTGAGTTCTACATTTAGAACAGGGAAAGGCCTGCTAACAAGATAAAGGTCCAAAGCTCTCTAGACTAACTTAGGATGAAACCATTCCTTATGGAACAAGACCAGTGGGCTCTGATGTTAGGTAATGAAAACCTTTGGGCATTTAATCCTCAATTGAAAAGACGTTTTGGAATGGGGCGTATAATCATGCCAACATCCTTAAGGAGGTTTTCATTCTCCTACCAGTGTCCCCTTCCAGACACCGGTTCAAGTTTTGACAGCAGCAACAGAGGGTAGGGATGGGAGAGCCGACTGGAAGCCAAGCAGATGCCCCGAGAAGCCTGGACCCAGCCCCGCAGCCTGAGGGAGGAGAGGCTGCCAGAGCATTTGCATCTTGGAAGACAGATCAAATCCTGTTATAACTCATGGTGGGGAGGCAACAGGAGCACCAGCATTGCTCTGCATCCCAGAGTTGCTTAATATCCACTAGAAGGAGTTTCATTATTCAGAACCATCCTTTAAAAAGGGGTGTGTTGGTTGTAAAAGACTTTGCCTGTGTGTGGGAAAGTGGCTTGGGTTTATCTGGAGGTAAAGGTGGAGACTGACCCTCACTGGCATGAAGAGACAGGGCAGCATGGGGCGGGAGGAGCGGTGGCTGGGCCTCGGAGGATGGGGAGCCCCACGCTCTGGTGCCACCAGCTGTGACGGAAGGGCCCATGCTCAGAACTGACCTCACGCTCTGTGGACTCTGGAGCACATCTGAGAAATACAGGGAGACTTCCTGACACCTCTAAGAAGGTCACTTAGACAACAGACATCAGAGGAAGCAGGGTTAGTTCTCTGGTCTGACTCAAGGACAGCCCTGCTCCTTCACCACAGCTGACTCCTGTCCCCGGGAGGCACCCGGTACCAAAGTGGGACGTGCATCTCTTTGTTACTCCCACTTCACTGTCTTTGACTACCTCCCAAGACAAGATTTTAAAATAATTTTATATTGCGCAGTGTTCTGTATCAGATCCTTTCTCTCCATCCTTTAATGCAGGTAATAAAAAATTGGCTGTGATGAGATTTATTTCTTCCTCAGTGGGCAGACTGTGAAAGAAACCCCTGGTGAGAACAGTCTTTGAAGCTGTCCCAACTTGTCTGATTTGTCTCCCACTCCCAGACCTGGTTCTGAAGGTACAAGAAAACGCTTGTGTCCTTTCCAGGCAGGAAAGCAGAGAGAGCACAGCTGAGCTATTTTAAGCAACCGAGCCCAGTTCTGAGCTGGCACGGATGCCCAGAACTTGCTCCCAGCCAAAGCTGCCCCTGGGAGAACTCCAGGAAGCCGACAGGGTTCTGTTCCCAATGCCCAGTGCATTTCTCAGCAATCGGAGGAGAGAGTTTTGGTGGAGAAGGGGACCCAGAAACGAAGCACAAACAAATATCCCTTACCTAACTCTGGTAGAGAAAAGGATGTTTCTGGAAAGTCCAACTTCTAAAGGTTGTTGAAATCTTCAACTGCTTATTTCTACAAAGGAAGGCTCTTCACCACCTCCGTCTCCCTGCCTCTAGCCCACGTACCAGTGAGAGCCTCTGGCCAGGACTGCAGCGGCCACCTGACCCTGCAGTCCCCGCACAGCAGGCAGACTCCGAGCCTGGGTCGGAGAGACGGACCCCGGCGAGGCACTGAAGGAGGTCCAGGAGGTGCTGCCTCGATCCTACCCCCCTGCTGCCCGAGGCTGCCAGCCCTGTCCTTGCTCCAGAGGCTCCTGGGCAGACCAGACTGTCCTCCTCAGCTCAGCCAGCTGGCAGGCAGTCCCTTCTGCACTGAGGCGACACCTCAGACAACCCAACTTTCTTCTCAGGGGTGCTCTCTGGGCCTGGATCCAGAATAAGAAACACCAGGGGTGGAAAAAAAAAGAAACACCAGGGAAGAGGCAGCAAGTGGACTGAAGCTGGGCAGCCCTGTGAGGAACAAGTGAGGCTTGTCCCTGGTTGCTGGCCGTCCTGTTGGCTATCAGGGCCCAGGAAGCTCTGGGCAGGGCGTGAGCCGCAGAGGTCGGAGGGGAAGATTAGGGGAGGAGGAAAGGGGCTGCAGAGAGAGATGAGCGGGGAAAAGAGGAAAGGGGAGGCGAAACAGACAAGAAGAAAAAAAAAAAAAAGGGAGGACCATGAAGAGAGGGAAGAAAGAAAGACCCACAACAGGGGAAGGCACACAGGAGGGAAGCTGCTTCAGGGGCCATCTCCACCAGTGGGACGGCTTGGGGGGGCCAGTGAGGTGAGAAGGGCCCACGTGTCCGAAGAGAGGGGTGAGCGCCCTGGCCTTTCCTCTGCCTCCTGCACCCACCCTGGAGGCAGCATCAGTCACCCACGGGTCCACTCTGGGAAGCCGGGGCTCAGCCCCCTTTCCTTTAACCTGTGGAAATAGCCAGCCCCACATGGGGCCCTCTGCCTGACCGCCTCCACAACGGCCTCTGTCCACGGTACTGAAAGCAACATTTGCAACTGCCTGAGACAAATGAACATCTTTGGGGGCTTTTATACTGAAGGTCAGTGACAAAACCACAGTATAAACCAACACAGCCACTTCCAATGTCCTGAGCAGGTTGAGGACTTTGTAGCCAAAGCTCCAGGCTGGCTGGTCCCTGGCAAAAAGTGACTCTTTAGACAGAGCTTCTCTCTCTCCTGGTGAAGGGTGGGTCAATGCTAAAGCGGGTCAGGAAATGCTGATTCACTCTGGTACCAGCCAAACAATCAGGGAACAAAAATGAAAACAAATAAAACTAAAAGATAAACCTGCAACTTGCAAACACAGTGATTCCATATGGTCCAGCATATACTTGTTAATATTACAGAATCAAACACAATTTATTTTGTTGGATCACTAATTTAGATATTCCATGCTATTGCTTTATTTTAGAAATAAAGATAACCAAACAATGAGGAGAAATAGTCAAGCTGACTGCATGAGACAGATGCTGAACGACCACTTACAGCAGTGCTTCCCAAATTCTGGTGTGTTCCCAGGACACTTGGAGAACTAATGCAGACCAGAGGCCCAGGACTGTCGGGCAGGCGAGGGACTGGGTGTAGGTGTCGGTGCCAAGCTTGCCAGGTGATTCTGACTCCACCAGAGTTTGAGAAGCACTAATTTGGAGCAGGACCGAATTTAACTCTAGGCTCCAGAATCGAGCGATGTGGCTAAAGAGCAGCTAGAGTCACTCAGGCACAGTGAGCCGGCAAGATGTCTAGGTCAGCTGTGGGGACACGGCACTTCCCAGGTCCAGGTGCCCAGGGCTGTCTGGGCTCAGGGGGCTGCTGTCCCCAGCCCCTGGCCCCCAGCCCCGGGCAGGGGCCCACACACTTACTGGTCAGGACTTTGAGGTTGAATGGGTTCTTCTGCTGGATGGTGTGGGTGAAGTGGAAGCGGGCATTGCAGCTGTAGTCTGTCTGCATGTCCTGCAGCATCACATTAGAGAAATACAGGTCTCCATTATGGCCCTGGGAGACACGTTTGTCTTGGGTGATGGGCTCCATGGCTATAAGGAAGCAGGGGTACAGGGGGAAGTTAGCAGTAATGATAACAGTAACAAAAATCATCATAGTTCTGGTGATTCAACACCTACCAAGGGCCAGGCCGGGGCCAGGAGCTCCACAGTATTTGGTTTAATACTGTCAACCCTGAGGCAGAAATTACTCCCTTTTTAAAGATAAGAAAGCAGGACTTAACAAGATTTGGGTTGCAAAAGCAGTGAAGGGGAGTGGGATTTCAATTCAGACCTGTCTGCCAACCATGTTCATGCTCTGTGACCACACCTTTCATTTCCTATTCATGCCACAGAAGATCTAACTGGCTCCCAGGCCAGAGGTAGGAAACACAATCCTTCAGATGTTCCCCAAACCGGGAGGCATGTTCACCTGTTTTGTTTTAAACCTCCACTCATCCCCAAGAAGGAGAAAAGCACCACCAACTGTAAGATATACACCAATCAATGATGCATATCATAAATTTTAGGACACTTTCCAATTTTAGAGATGTTAAAATATGAAAATGTGTGCTTTTTTTTTTTTAGGATTAATAACATCATAGGAGTGGCTGAACATGCTGACCATATTGTCTACTTTTTTTTCAAGCACTGTATCTGTAAACACAAATGACCAGGTTTCTAGGCTGTAAGGTTTGTAAAAATATAAGGCTGACAACTTACAGGTATCTCCTTCTTATCCCTGACGACTGCTTCTCAAGTCACCATTTCTTTTTCTTTCTCTTGAAAAGTAGTTCTATTTAATCAATTAATTTTACCATGTGACAGAAGGGGATAAGCTGAGAGAAGGAGTACCCAATCCATCCTGGGATTTGAGCTGAGGCTTGAAGGTTGCATGACATTTACCAGGCAGAAGAGGAGGAGCTAAGAGGCTTCTAAGCAGCAGGAACAGTGTGTGCTAAAGGTAAGCACCCACAGCTTGACCCGGGGAGTGGGGGTGGGGAGGGCATACGAATGAAAGGATCATTTTTAGAAAGACCAGGGAGGCCAGGTATGGATGATTATTGTAACCCAAGGAAAAGCTGTTGATGGCTCATGCTAGGGAGGTGGCGGAGAGAATGGAAGAGCAGGGTCATGAGATATGCTCAGGAAGTAGCATGAACACAACGTGGTGCAGTGTGGGGTTGAGAGGGGCTCACAAACCAACCCTCCGGCCTGTGGCCAGCTGCCTTCCCCACACATCCGCACTGTGATGAGGCAAGTGGGGGGACGACTGAGCACAAAGTCATCCATTCAGGGCGGGAGGGAGGAAGGAAGCCAGGGAGATGCTCAGAGAGAGCAGTCTTCTATCCATCTTCATAATGCCCCCGCCCTTTATTCTGATTGAAAACACAGGAAGAAACAGCAGGCAGTTCAGAGAGCCCCTGTCCAAAACTGAGTCAGGACAAGCTCTGAATGAGGTACTCTGTCCTCCCTGCTCCAAACACCCTGTCTCCCCATCACTCCTTTATCTAAAGTTTCATTCCCAAATCCCTCTTCTGTCCTACGAGAAGACTGAATCAGAGCAGATCCAGATGAACCAAAGATTGAAAGAGGCTTGGTTTCAACCTGCCGTCAACTGGCCAACTGAAAACCAGTTTGTCCTCTGACCCATTTCTTTTTCTGTTGCTCTTATTCATCATCACAAATATTACTGAACACTTACTGTATGTCTGGCCCTATTATAAGCACTTTGGCTATATTGTCATTGAATCCTCACAATAATTCTATTAGATAAATACACTTATCAGCCCTAGTTTTTTAAAAGAGGAAACTGTGGCCCAGAGATATTAAACAAGTTGATTGAGATCACACAGCTAAGAGTAGCCAGGCTCAAAAGTGAGCCCCAGCAACCTCTCTCTGCAAATCCTGTGTTCTCAGTCACATGGCCACCTTAAATCTGTTCTCACAAGTCAAGGTTATCTAACCTTGGGAAGACCCCTTCCTATTTAACACTCCCTAAGATTAAAATAGAAATAAAACACCAGGCCCTGGAGACTTACAGCTGCTCATCCAGAAGATGACTGGGGACGGAAGACCAGGTGGGGGGTTGCACTGGAGTGTCAAGGGGGCACCTTCTTGAACCACGACGGGGTCTAGGTTTTCCTTGGGCCACAGGGGCGATTCTGGGGAGAAACAAAGGAGCAATCTATCAGGGTGATGGCTGGGCTGGGGCACAGAGCAGGGTTAGAAGGTGGCAGCAAGGAGGGCAAAGAGAAGAGGAACTGGGAGAACAAAGAAGGCCCAAGAGAGGGACAGGGTCTGTGTGTCCAAGTGAGGGGTGGCCTTCAGAGGCAGGAGAGGCCTTTCCTCAGGCTGAATGAACACACATCTTTCAAGGCTCTTCTTCCCTGACCCGTGCCAGGAGGGGTCAGTGAGGTTGTTCCACAATGGTTTGGAAACTTCCTTTCCAAGGAACCTTTTTAAGTTGGGGGAGGCACACCCCTGCCCAGAGGCCAGGCACGCAGATCCCCCAGGTAGCTGCAGGCCAAGGGTGGGCGGCCCTTCTGGAATGACCCTCCACATCCTGCCCTCCACCGACCCAGCAGCGGGGCATCCTGGGCCTGGCCCACGCACTCACTGGACACCTGCAGGCGAATCCGATTGGACAGGGCCGTGCCGAATTTGTTGCGGGCAAAGCACTGGTATTCCCCCTCATACTCCTCGGGCCGCCCGCCACTGCGGAAGTCGATCACCAGGGTCCCAGACCGCCTCCTCATCGACACCCGGGGGTCCTTGGCGATGTTGAAGAACTTGCTGTTGCGCGTCCAGTGGAAGCTGTATAGGGTCAGGGACAACCAAGAGTAGCAGGGAGGGCTCTGGGCTCCCAGCTCTAGGCCAGAATCTCAGGGCCCTAGACTGGGACTCGGGCCGTAACCATTCCTCCAGACCAGTGGGTCCCAGGCTGGCTGCGCAGCAGGACCTTCTCAGACACCTCAGACCCATGCTGGGTCCTGGGTCCCACCCAGGTGGGTTTCTGAGGAGGTCCCTGAAAGTAGCTGTGCTACCCAACCGAGGCTGGGAGTCATGACTGCAAGTGAGAGATACCAAGCGGCTGTGGGGGGCTGTGCTCTTTGGAAGAGTAGGCAGCAATCCTGGTTTTTTAAAATCCAGAGTCAGCGGCTATTCCCACCGCTAAGCATTCTCAACCTCCAACTAGGAACCCCAAACCAAATTCCTATTCCATCGGCCCCAACACATCAGGGAGCCGGCCCTGCTCTGCCTGTGTCATTATTTGATAACCCACTCTAAATCAAAGTGAAACGGCCCCCGGTTTTCTGTGCGCTGCTCAGTGGATGTAGATTGTAAATGGCGGCTGTGCGGTCGCTCAGCGGATGTAGATTATAAAATGGCGGCTGTACATTACAACCCCAGAGGAGCAGTTTTAAAGTACAAAGTAGCCTGAATAAAACTGAGCCCTAGCATGAAGAGACTAGAACATCCTCTGTTTCTCTGGGGGGGCGGACATGTGTCTGCCCAGGATACAGCCTAAAAGAAGCAGGGACAACAGCAGCTTCTCGGAATCCCACTCACTGCCCTGCAAAGGACTGTGGGAGAAAGACCAACCCTGAGAAGTGAGGTCAAGATACCCTGCCGGAGACTCCTGCTTCTTCATGGGCAAGAGGCTCTGCTTGCTTCTGGGATTGCAGCTCTAGACCAGCATTCTCGGGCACACCCACGGAGGGAGGTAGAAGCAGGGTGCCAACCCCTTGAGGCCCTGCCCACCTCACATCTCCTGCTGACAGACACACAGTACATGAGGGCCTGTCACGTCTGGGTACAAGTCCGCCATGAGGCTGCTGGAAGCTCCAGCCTGTGGATGCTGCTTTGAAGAGGGTGGGCGTTCCCATCCCCAGTGCTTATCACTTGGTAGAAGTTATCCCTGGTCTGGGGTGTCAGAGGCCTGGGGTTAGGTACCTGACATCTCTGTGCCTCCATTTCACTTCCTCTCCACAAGGACACGGGTCCTTCCCTGAAGGGCAGTGAGGTGGGCGAACAGTGTGAGGAACAACATTTAACACAGAACCTACCATAGGAGGCTTGCAATTCATGTCTGCTGATATCTCATATGATCTTGTATGTGTTAGTTCAGTCGTGCTGACTCTTTGCAACCCCATGGATTGTAGCTCAGCAGGCTCCTCTGTCCATGAAATTCTCTAGGCAAGAATACTGGAGTGGGTTGCCCTTTCCTTCTCCAGGGGATTTTCCTGACCCAGGGATCGAACCTGGGTCTCCTGCATTGCAGGTAGATGTTTTACCGTCTGAGCTACCAGGGAAAGTGAAAGTGAAAGTGAAGTCGCTCAGTCGTGTCAGACTCTTTGCGACCCCATAGACTGTAGTCTACCAGGCTTCTCCGTCCATGGGATTTTCCAGGCAAGAATACTGGAGTAGGTTGCCATTTCCAGGGAAGCCCATCATAAAATCTTGATATGCACATATATAAGCAGAGACGAACTCAGAATGGAAGATTCAAGTTAGCGCGAAGAGGAACTTCCTATAAGCTAAGCATCAGGTGGATGCTGGAAACATAAGCAGTGGGAAGAATGTTATATTCAAAGTCAGAAAACTTCATATCTAGTCCTGGCTTTTTGGTATGAACTGAGGCCAGTTAAGTTTTCTGGCCCCCAGATTCCTCATCAACTACATTTCCTAGTTATCCAAACTGTACCTTCTATCTAGTAGGTGCCTAGTGGACATTTTATGAATGGATTTCTCAGCTGCTTTAAACTATCATCAGGCTCAGGGGGAAGGGGACAGTTTCAATGCCCTTTTTGCAGGTCCTGTTCCCTCCACCCAGCTTGGATTTACCTGCTGGGCACTCACCTGGGGGCAGGGTTCCCCTTGGCTTCACACTCAATCAAGATGTTGTCACGGGGATCCACAATGTGGTCCTTCACTGACTGCTTGGTGATGGTCGGGGGCTGGGACACTGCAAGAGCACACACAGTGAGCAGTCAGGGCTGCGGGAACCTGCCCTTGGGGAACGGCTGAAATTAAGAGCTTCAGGAGCCACCCAGACAAGCAGGCCAGCAGCGGTGAGCAGTGCCCCGTTCTAGAGACCCAACTGCTTAAACAGGGCTGCAAGAAAGGGCATGGTGTATCAAGGACTAAGTATAAGAAGAACCCCTTTACGTTCTCATCTTTATGAGAAACTGAAGGCCAGGCTTTTGGTTTACTCATTCTTATATTCTAATGCTTAGTACAATGTCAAGTGTACAACAGTAATTGATGAATGTTCATTGAATGAATAAAGGAACCCGAAGCAGCTCAATTTCCAGAACCTAGTTGCCATGATGGTTCTGAGCCCTGTAGGATCAATAGTTGGCCAAACTGTGGTGAGGCTAGAGCTGAAAGCCGCTTTAGTCCCCGGAGGCCTTCCCAGGGGCTTGTCTGCAGCCAAAGAGCCAGCTCCAGCCCCAAGCTCCGAAGTCCTCCACGACACTGCCGTGCCAGCCACTGGAGGACAGGGGGCAGCGGTCCTTCCAGAAGCCGCTAGTACCACCTCTTGGCCTTCTCCCATCCCTTCTTACTGCCCGCCACCTCCCAGAGGCACAAGCGCAGACAGGCACCCCAGGGACTTACGCTCACTCTGAATGCTTGCTGTTAGTTCCCGATGGGTTAGCATTGTGAGGGGAGAAAAGAAGACAACAGTTATCAGTTATCGGCCATGACTGTCACCCAGGTGGCCTCAGGCCCCGGCCTGCAGGGGGAGGGGGAAGAGGGCTGGGGAGGCCAGTGTCGGCTCTCCTCCAGCTTCAGAGCTCTGTGGGAGAGCCAAGCCGGGGTGGGGACAGACCCAGCGACGCTTCATGGAGAAGGCGACGCCTCCCCCAGGGGACCAGACTGCACAACTGAGCAAATGACCAGCTGCTGACCAAATGATTTCCAGGGGAATCTGCACGTCAGAACTGGCAATGCTGCTCAAAAGAGGCTGGGGTCTGAGGATGCCACTCGTCATCGCCTGATGCCTGAGAGGAGAGCAAGCTCCTTAGCCAAGGGTGCGAGGGTGGGGCTGGAGGCTGGTGAGAGGGGTGGAGCTGAACCACTGCTGCAGGGTGAAGCCCAAGGACCAGTCAGGTCCACAGCCTCATTGCTCCCTCCGCACCTTCTTCTTCACACCTGAAAGCATCTTCCCACCGTCTCCTCCTCTACCATCCTTTGGAAAACTCGAGGGAAGGATGAATTATTGTCATCTGCTCATGGCAGAAGTACACTGTTCTATGGAAATCCTGCTTCTGAACAACTGTGGAGATGAAGCAGAACCCACCACTCCTTTCTGTGCTTTTTACAAGGAGGGTAAAGGTGGCGTGGATGTGCCTGTGTTCATGCACAGGAGTGTTGGGGTGTGGACCTTTCACACTTTAATCAGCATGAGAATCCCCTGTGGGGGTTGTCAGGTAAAAATTTGGGCTCTGACTAAGTAGGTCTGGGTGGGTCTGAGCGTCTGTGTTTCTGACAAGCAGCCAGGTGACTCTGGTGCCTGTGGTTTGCAGGCCACACTGTGAACAGCAAGGTTTTAGAGGGTTTATTCTTTGTGGGGAGAAGGGTTTGGTGAAAATTTCTCTGCAGAGGAGAGAACACATGTCGCTGTAACTTTTTAAGATGTCTTTTCCTCACAGTTACATCACTATATATATTACACGATTACATTACTGTAGGCCACTCTTATTTCAGGCCGGTGGAGAGGTCAGACACTGCTGGTGTGGTGAGCTGATCTTTTCCAAGTGAGCGCTCCCTGGGGAAAGGCTGAGCCACGATGACCTCAAAACTTTGACTTGATCAGTGAGATGTGCAAGAGGAGATGAGAAGCTCTGAGGGGGGCGGCCTGGAGAAGGCAGAGTTAAGGCAGGACCAGCGACACAAGAGGAGCCCCAGGGGAGGGAAGACCGAGAGGGGAGGTGGGGGGAGCAGGGACGAGGGCCTGCTACACACTGCCAGGAAGTGAAAATCTGGACGACAAAGCTCATGAAAAGGTTTAAAGGCATTCCTTCAGTGGCTGGGGGTGTGTGGCCTGTCCACGGATTAAAGAGAAATTTTATCTGCTTCACCATGTGCCTGGGGCGACCTTGGCAAGAAACAGAAAAGGAAAGAAAAGCCGAGGGGAACAGCAGAAATCTTGGTTTCTGAACACAGGCTCTAGACAGCTCACCACTGCGGCATGTTCAACCATCTATAAGTCTCCTGCTAGGACCCAAGAAAGGTAACTCTGGAAAGCCAGGGGCGCTGGGCAGGGAGGGAGGGGGAAGGGCCATGGTCAGGAGCAGCAGGGCTGACCCCTGACCCACTCCCCTGGCTACGAGCCCGGGCCCCTGCTTACTCCATCTCAGGACACATCTGACGTCTTTTGGGTTCTCAAATCCAGTTGAGGGTGCTGGCCTCACCCCAGATGGGAAGCCTAACACAGGGTCTGCTTTGCCCACGTGGGTTTCAAGTCTCTTTTATACATAGGCCAGTTCAATGGAGACAGCGTGAGATGTTGCTGAGGGAGTGTCTGGTTCTTGAAAGGGAAGTTGACTCAGTTAAGGTCCCACAGGAAGTCTGGGGCAATGTATTATAGCAAGGAGAATCAACTCTCCCACTGCTGGTCAGGAGCTCCTTTCTCATATCCATTCTCGGCTGGAGAGGTGAGCCAGCCAGCGGGGGCCCTGGCACTCTGCTCCCCTTGACACTCTGGACAGAGCGTGGGGGAGTGGAGGCTCTCTGCATCCTGCCCCCAGCCCCACACTGACATCTGGCCGGGGGCCTCTTAAGAAGCTATTTGCCTAAAGAGGTAATGACACCTGCAGCCGCCACATGCGGCCAAGGGATTTATCACAGGGACACGGCCAGCCAGAGGACACACCGCCACAGCGGGAAGACAGTCACCACCTAGGCCTGTGCACACCCCGCCCCTCTCTCCTATGGAACCTGCTGGGTGGTGATGCTCTTTCACTTCCAAGCGGGAGGAAAAGTCTTCCCATGGGCTCTGCAGGGAGCGATACAGACGCCCACTCAGTCTGCAGGGTTTCTGTATTCATGAACCCCTTTCATTTCCGTGGCTCTGACAGTCCCTGGCACCCCCGCCCCACGGAGGATGGAGTGAGTGTGCATGTGCACTGTCGAGGCCACCGCAGCCTCACGCCCTGGCATGACAGTGAGGAGGGAGCGTCGCTCCTACCCCGCTGCCCTCCTCCGTGGGTCCCTAGGGGAAAAATGCCAAGTCCCTTGATGCAGGGAGGGAGATGGAGGGGCAAGCTGCCAGCAGACTCACTTTTCTGGCACAATCACTCTGATGGATGGGGCAAAAGCAACCCTTTGCTTTTTCCAAAGGTCACGCTGTTCTGCTTGGGTGGGGGGGTGTGCATGTGACTCTGTTGGCAGAGCAGCGGGAGCAGGAGGCCGCGTGTTCAGTGAGGGATTGTGCTGCGGCCTGGGCTCTGTTCTAGGACACCTGCTGCGCCCAAGCTCCCCGAGGTCCAGATGATGCCCCCCAAAGGGGAAGTGAGCAGAGGACACTCTGGGCAGCCTGTGGCTTGAGCCCCTCCACGCCCCCCAGCCAACACACAGAGAAAGCTGAGGGTGTTCCCGCTGCCTACAGTGAGCAAAGCTGCGTGAACACAGGGGTGTGGGTACCTTTCCTGCCTTTTGCAACAAGACGGATGGACCCCGAGGTCAATGCTAAGAGAAATTAGTCAGACAGAGAGGGACAAATACTGTGTGTTCTCACTTACATGTAGAATCTAAAAAAAGTCAAAATCAAAGGAACAGAGTAGGATGGCGGCTGCCAGGGGCTGGGGGTGGGGGAAGCAGGGAGACGCTGGTCAAGGGGTACAACTTCCAACTACAGGATGGGTGAATTCTGGGATCCTGTGTACGGCACAGCAACCACTGTTAACTGTGCTGTATGGGCTTCTCTGGTGGCTCAGAGGTTAAAGCGTCTGCCTGGAATGTGGGAGGCCCCAATTCAATCCCTGAATTGGGAAGATCCCCTGGAGAAGGAAATGGCAATCCACTCCAGTACTCTTGCCTGGAGAATCCCATGGAGGGAGGAGTGTGGTAGGCTACAGTCCATGGGGTTGCAAAGAGTCGGACACGACTGAGCGACTTCACTTTTCTTAGATACTTACAAGCTGGTACAGGAGATCTTAGAAGTTACCAGCACACACCCACAAAGGTAACTTTTTTTTCTGAGTTCTACACAGTAAATAAACATTTTTATGTCAGTAATATCTCAATAAAGCTGGGGCTGGGAAAGCCTGAACTTTCCCCAGCCCCTTCCACTGGGTGAGATGGAAGGACCGGCTCAGATGATCTGGGAGGCATCTACCCTGCTGGGCCCGGGGGCAGGGTAAACCCTGACTGATGAGTGCCTCTTCCCAGGGCACCTGGGTGCCCTCTGAAGGGCCTGCCTCACTCTCGTCTTGCACTCATCTTTCGCAGACTCAGGCTGGAGGTGGCCATGGCCACTGCGCTTGCAGCAACCAGGGAGGCGCAGGATGTATGCGACAGGCGCAGGCAGCGGGAGCTTCTTGTTGACACGGCTGGGGGCAATGGGAGTGGCTCTGCAGAAGGACTTCCTCGTTAAGAAAGACACCATGGTCACGTCCTGGCCCTGCCTGGGTGAGCTGGAGAAAACAGCTTCATTTCTCTGCCTCTCAGAGTCGGCCAAGGATGACACTGACTTCATGGATGGGCTGTGAGTCACTGGAGATGTGCCTGGAGAGCTCTGAGCTCTCTGTCTGGCATGAGGCAGCTGCTATTCCAGGGAGACCCAAGATGAGCTAAAGGGGGCAGGCTAACAGAGGCGGGGTGTGGCACGTGGTCCAGACTGGGGGGCCAAGGGGCCTGGGCTCTTTCCGTGAGTCCATCACCCTTTGCTGTGTGGCCCTGAGGAAGCAGGGGCCTGGGTCCCAGTGAACACTCAGGAAGACGCCCTCCAGGCCCTCCTTGGGGGCCTGGCAGCTCTGCCCCACGGCTGGTGCTCTGCAGAGACTGGCTGTGGGGTCCTGCCCAGGGCCCCTGAGCTTTAGGATCCAGATTCCTAAGACAGCCGTCAAAGCCCTTGGGTCACAGGCTCACCCTGCAGGAACCCCTCGCCTACCCGCCCCGCGGATCAGAGCAAGAAGTGGCAGAAGGGAAACGAGCCTTCACCGCTTCCTGCGTAACCCAGTTTCCTCCTCAGCCCCGCTCTCCAGGGACGTGGCCTTACCACGCTCCTTATTAGACTGTCTGCCTGGGACCGTTAATGAGAAACCATCCCTGAGCCAGCAGTGCAGACGGTCTCCGTGGGAACAGTCTCCTTCACAACCGCCCTCTCCCTCCCTCCCTAAGGGTGTGCGCGCATGCACACACGCGCACACACACACACGCACACGTACACAGGTTGGGGCCATCAGGAGGGCCATAGGGGCCCTGGCTATCTTGTTCTGGGTCCAATTACAGTTTCTCCTGGCCTTCTCCACCCAGAAGTACCCCCTCCTCTGGGTAGCTGTTACTGGTGAAGTGTAGGCGGGAGGTAGCAGGGAGCTGAGGTACTTGCAACTTTTCTCCAAGCTGTGCTAGCTCCAGGCCCCAGAGGCTGGCTCTGGAGAGCTCAGTGGGGACTTCTTCGAGGCTGTATCACTCTCCCACCCCTCCCCAGACACCTGTTGCCTGGAGAGAGGCCAGGTCAACACTGGCATCACATAGGTCCCATCTATTCCTCGAAGCAGGAACGGGGGACAGGGGTGGTGTGTCCGTATCATAGCTCTGGGAGGCCCAGAATTCCTGGCAGAAGAGTCAGAACTGTAGCAAAGGTGGCACCCATCTCAATACAGGGCCAAGGATCACGGCTGCCAGTCAACGGGCCACTTACAAATGTAACACCAGATACGGCTGGTGGAGACACGGCTGCCAGATCAGCATTTTCATCTTGACTTTATGATCTTGATGGCCAAATAACGTCCCACCATAGGAAGCAGATGCCATGGATTTCACTTTTCAACTTTGCCATGGGAAAGTTGAAAACAAACAGAAGGAGTTCGTGCCAGATTCTCCCAGTGACACTATAATGGGGTTCTTTATTTTAATGGCTCACTTAGCCACAGTCTTTTGCAAAAGTCACCTCCTTCACAACTCCCCCAGGCCATCTGTCCTCAGCACTTCAGCCAAAAGGACCTGGCTATGAGAAAGGCAAATCAGGGCTGTCCACCATGCTCAGCCCCTGGAAACTCTGCTATGATAGGTTAGTCAAGACCACAGAGGGATGAGGGAGGGGTGTGGAGGGAAGGACTCCCGAGTGATGCTCAGGCTTCCAGACTCTCAGCAGGCTCCGGGCAGTGACCAGCACAGCCCCGGCCCTGAGAGATGGCCTGGTGACTCCAGGTCCTAGGTTCCCAAGCATGAGCTTGCCCGGGTTGATCCTCTGGAGGAAAACCCAGCTCTGAATCCAGAAGCCACTGCTCCTGCTGTCCCCGCCTTCTCTGAACGGTCCTCACTCTCCCCGCCCCTCCCCGCTCCCCCGACTCCTCTGCCCCCAGTCAGCAGATTCCAAGTGGACAGGAGACTCACGGTCCATGGGAATCTCGATGGCCCCGCTGAGGCTGAGTGCGCAGAGGAGGACGGCTGTGCAGGCCCAGGGTGGCGGTGGCCCGGCCATCCTGAGCACCGGGCCTTGCGCCCCGCACCCCGGCCCGCGAGGTCTCACTGCCTCCAGTCACTGGAACTGATCCTCCCGGACGGAGTTCAGCTGCAGAAAAAAATTGATGACAAGTGAGTGTTCCCTGAACTCCTGGTCCACTCTAGCAATCCGACAGAGCCTTGAGGATTCAGTGTCCCCTTGATTACAGACCTACATTCTAACACAAGAGTTTTTTTTAACCTTGTACTATCGACTTTTGGGACCTGACAATTCTTTGCGTGGGGACTGTCTTGGGTATTGTAGGGTGCTGAGCAGCACCCCTGGCCTCTGCCCACAAGACGCCAGGAAGGCCCACTCCTGCCCTCAACTGAAGATGTCTGCAGAATCGCCAACTGTCCCCTGGAGGGAGGGCAAACCACCCCCAGCTGAGAACCAGTTTTCTAGAAGAAAAGACAACTCTACATAGAATAGTCGTGAAAACAGACACTGGCTCTCAGGCCCAGCACCTGGAAGGTGCCATGCGCTGTTAGGCGCTCAGTCGTGTCCAACTCTCTGCGACCCCATAGACTGTAGCCCGCCAGGCTCCTCTGTCCATGGAATTCCCCAGGCATGGGGATCCCCAGGGTTGCCATGCCCTCCTCCAGGAGTTCTTCCCAAACCAGGACTGAACTCGGGTCTCCTGTATTACAGACAGATTCTTTACCATCGGAGCCACCAGGGAAGCCCCATGCACTGCGCCTGTAGGAAACACATCTAGCTCACAGCCTTTCTGACCCACGTGTGATGAGGGGGCCTGAGGCTGAGTGTGTCCGGGTTAGCAGCACAGAGACAAGATCACAACGCTGTCCTTTGACCCGGAGACGGGGAGAGCGAAGGAGGCAGTGGTGCGGGGCAGTGGTTGGGTAAGTGGAAACTTGGTTGCCCAGGAGAGTTTGTAAATGAATGATTTCTGCAGATACTTTGTGCAGCTAACTATTTGGCAGTGGCCCCTGATGCTGGCCCTTTAGGGATAATGGCAGTGCGGATACGACAGCCCAGGACAGAAGGCTCCGGAGAGCTGGGAGAACAGGCAACATTCATGACAGCATGATGCTCACACCCTCAAGCACAAGCCATCGTTCCAGGGCTGACAGGGGTAAGGGCTAAAAATGCCTGTCCAAGGAGCCTGGGATGGTCCTGGAGAGAAAAATCCTCCCCCGGTCCTGAGAGAGAAGAGCAACAACAGCCTACAGCTGAGTCTCAAACACCAACCTTTAAACTGCCTGAGGCTCTGAAACACTGAGTCTTAAAAAGTGGTCCAGTTTGCTGTTCTGACTATCATGGGGCCAAACAAATCACAGAGGACAATGGAAGCAGTTTCCCCACAATTCCTCTGGCTTTTCTGGATGAGTAGTCACCTAGCAAATGGACACACTATTTGAAACAATTTGGCAGCAATGTGAAGCCTTGATATCACCCACACACTCCTGCAAGCTCCTATGTATCCTGACTGAGGGTGCAGGGGATCCTTTGTGCCTGAATGTGGGCAAACCAACGGAAGCTGATACCAGTTCCTCACCTCATGTGTATTTCTGGACTCCTTTCCTTGTCTGCTGTCTCCTTTCCCACTGCTTCTTCCTTGGTGTTGGCCATCATGTTTACATCAGTTACTGCAACAGCTTCCTAAGTGGTCTCTCCCCACTTCTGCCCTTTCCCCTGATTCATTCTCCACCTATAACCAGAGCACTTACTCCTCAAAGCAAATCAGTTCAGTTCAGTCGCTTAGTTGTGTCCGACTCTTTGCGACCCCGTGGACTGCAGCACACCAGGCCTCCCTGTCCATCACCAACTCCAGCCTACTCAAGCCCATGTCCATTGAGTCGGTGATGCCATCCAACCATTTCATGCTCTGTCATCCCCTTCTCCTCCCGCCTCCAATCTTTCCCAGCGTCAGGATCTTTTCCAGTGAGTCAGTTCTTCACATCAGGTAGCCAAAGTATTAGAGCTTCAGCTTCAGCATCAGTCCTTCCAATGAATTTTCAGGACTGATTTCCTTTAGGATTGACTGGTTGGATCTCCCTGCAGTCCAAGGGGCTCTCAAGAGTCTTCTCCAACACCACGGTTCAAAAGCATCAATCCTTCAGCGCTCAGCTTTCTTTATAGTCCAACTCTCACATCCATACATGACTACTGGAAAAACCAGAGCTTTGACTAGACGGACCTTTTGTTGGCAAAGTAATGTCTCTGCTTCTTAATATCCTGTCTAAGTTTGTCATAGCTTTTCTTCCAAGGAGCAAGCGTGTTTTAATTTCATGGCTGCAGTCACCATCTGCAGTGATTTTGGAGCCCAAGAAAATAAAGTCTGTCACTGTTTCCATTGTTTTCCCATCTATTTGCTATGAAGTGATGGGACTGGATGCTATGATCTTAGTGCAAATGCAAATATAGATATGGTATCCCCCAGTCAAACTCATTAACTCACTGCTGCCCCAAAATTGAAGCTGAAGTCCATGACCTGGCTGGAAGCCCTGTGTGATGCAGCCTCAACTGCACGACCATTTCTTACCCTCCCCTTGTGTTCTGCATTCCAGCCAACATGGGTAGTCTACCAAGTCTCATAGTACATAAAGCTCTCCTGTGCTGACTTCTGCACAGATTAACTTCTGTCTAGAACACTTTCTGCATCTGCCCTCTCTCATTAGGGTGTGCCAAGTATGACATATGTGCCCCCTTGTCTGTGCTCCTGAACACCACTCCCCTATTACAGCACTTGTCACTATGAATTCATTCCAAAAGTCACTCCTCTGTACTCTCATAAAAAGGAAGGTGCGGTACGGGAAGGTGCCTCTTCTTGTTTATTCCTAGAGTATAGCATAATGGCTGAAACATAGCAGGTGCTCAGAACCATGTGATAGATGGATGCAAAATGAGCAGATGAATGCCTGAATAAAACAAACCACTTGGTTCACATGTTTTAGACTTCATGTTTCCCCATGAAACCGCCAGGCGGCGCAGGAGAGCAAGTGCTTTGGACCTGGAAACTGGGAAGGCTTTCAATCAGTGGGGGAAAAGGTTCCCTCCCGACATGGGCGCTGCTCTCTGGCCAGGGAACCATTCAGCTGTGAGTGAGTCAGAAAGTAGAAAAGCTCCCAAGGGGCCTAGGGAAGTACATGTGAGTTGAGTGATGATCAGCCACTGGTGGGGACACCTGGAAATGACAGCTACTCCTGGCCAAGTTCAAGAGCAGAGGCCATGCAGAAAGGCCATCTGGGTTTGAAGCTGCTCCCCACTTACAAGGTGGGGATCAGGGGCAAGTACTGAACCTTCAGGTCTTGGCATTTCTCATCCGAAAACTGCAGATAACAGGAGCACCTATTCTACAGGGCTGCAATTGTGACTTGATACCCAAATCCTATACAAAGCACTTAAAGCTTGGGGCAAAAGCTCAAGAAATGTTAGCTGCTGCTACCCAGCAGGCTTTGAACTACCTCCAGGACACGACCAGCAACAACCCCAAGGAGAAATGCTACTTATTCAGCCACAGTCACTTTCTGCTTTTCTGTTTTTCCCTTTTTGTGGGTCCTGGTTTGCTTTTTTCCCCCAGACTGGGGGGCCCCCGGTGTTGATTCCTCAAGCTGTCCCCGGCAGATGGATGAGAGGACTGCAAGCTGCTGCAGTGGAGAGCTCCCCACATTCTCACAGCCGCAGTCTGAGCAGGCTGTACTGGTGGTCACAACACATCTGAAGTGACGGGGAGAAAAGACAGGCTGCGCTGAGACACAGTCCACTTGGCAGCCCCACGCCCCCGGCAGCAGAATCCGCCACGGACTTCTGGGCAGCAGTCAGCCAGTCATTCGACCACTCACCAGACCTGGGCTCAGAGAACAAACAGGGACAAGAGACGACACGGGGACAGGGGACCAGCTCTACTACCACAGAGCTTTCAGCTTCCAGTGGGGAAATAAACATCGAACGTCAGTAACAACAAAGTGAGGCACCAGTAAGCGCAAAGAAGAAAACACAGTCTGACCTGCACACGATGTTTACAGTAGCCTTTTCCATAATGGCCAAAACTGGGAAGCAACCAAACCATCTTTCAGTAGGTGAGTGGATAAATCAACTGTAGTCCATCCAGACAAACGGAATATATTTTAACACTTAAAAGAAATGAGCTATTAAGATATGAAAAGACATGGAGGAAACAAAGGCATATTAGTAAATGAAAGAAGCCAATCTGAAAAAGCTATATACTGTATGATTCCATAGTTAACTACGGGACATTCTGGAAAAGGTGAAACTGCGGAGACAATAAGAAGTTCAGACAATAAAAAGATGTGGAGAGGAGGAGTGATAAACAAGTGGAGCACAGAGGATTTCTAGGGCAATGAAACTACTCTTACGATACTCTGATAGTTTCATCATAATTTCTCAAAATCCACAGAATGCACAACACCAGGAGTGAATCCCACTGTAAACTATGAACTTTGGGTGATAATGATATGTCAGTGCAGCCTCATCAACTGTAATGAATGTACCGCTTTGGTGGGAATGATGATGACAGGGGCGACTGTGCATGTGTAGAGGCAGGAGGCAAAAGCGAAATCTCTGTACCTTCTGCTATTTTGCTATGAATTTAAAAGTGCTCTATTAAAAAAAAAAAAAAGAGGAAACCACAGTAGGGTGATGTGATAAAAGGAAGTGAACAGCCAAGGAAGGCCTCTGTGAAAAGGTATCATTTGACCAAGATCTAAACAGCAAGAAGGAGTCAATATTGTAAAGATGGGTCATAAAAACATTCCAGGCAAGGAGAAGTGTCTGTGCAAAGGCCCTGTGGCAAGAAGCAGATGGGGACACGCAAGGAAGTGAAAGAAACCAACATAGCTGGAGTCTGGAGGGCACGTGCAGAAGAACAGAACAAGTCAAGAGTCAGAGATGGAGACAAGATATACTCCCAGAGGGATGAAGGCCAAAGGAAGGAGCTAAATTATGTTCCAAGCATCTAAGGAAGCTATTACAGGGTTCTAAGTGGTGGACTGACC